TACAAATATCCGGTACGGTCTCACAAAGATATGACTGTCCAGATAAATGGATTTATCAAACACATGTAACGGTTGAGATGCCGTGGTCAGATTGGATGGTGAACACGGAAGAACATTCACAACGGGTTCTAACGCGTCGACGCTTTTAGGGTTAGAAAAGTGGAAGAGAGATCAATAAATCACCGTGAAATGACTGGGTTTCATATAAAGCGATATCCTGAACAAGCCAGAATGACAAACTCCATTCTGACAGAGTGCAAATTTAGGACTTTTGGAGTTGTTAGTACACGTCTATGGTTTATGAATTCGTGGCATTAACGGATTCATATTTAGCTGGTTTGATGCGGGTACACGTGTACCTGGGCAAAACCTTTTCTTCCAGCCACCAAAATTGATTTGCCTGTGAATTTCACATCCAATGTCTTTTTTGGATAAAAGCGCCGTGAAAGTTCTGCAAACGCTCAAACACCTCCATCACCTGCCAATTCCTCTGAGAGAAATTTGTGGGACGCAATAAGGTTGTTTCTCAGGGAAAAACGGGTAGGATAAAGACTGGTTCCCTCATCACATTTACTCCGCTTCAAGTGCCTCATTTTCATGGGCATGTGATCTTTGAGTAGACGAAGAGAGAACCGGTTTACTAAGTCTTATAGAACGAAAACGGGAGATAACTTTATATATTACGCTGCTATTACTGGAAAGCTGATTTCGGTTTGCTAGCCTTGCCATTTTTTTTAGAGCAGTGATGCACTCGTAGTACATGGCATTTAACTAGATATTTAAACCAAGTTAAATAAGATTACCCAAATATGGGTTGTAGAGTGGAACTCTTAATTGACATTTTGCATGGTAAAAAACGAGGGTCTCAAATGCCTCTCAACCGGCGGTCCCGTCTGTAATATACTTTAAGAGAACAATTCACTTGTGATAGCCTTCAGTTTCACGATAGTGCCATGCTACTCGGCTTAGCAGCATTACTCCACACTTACGTCAGACTAGATGTTCATTTATAATTGGGTGTGACACAATGATACGGGGCTAATGGAAGCCGGTGCTAGCCTGTGCAAAGGTATTTATCAACCATGTTTTAATTAGATGGGAATAGTTCACTAAGCAGCGAGGTTGCTCAACTACTGAGACCGTATTTCACGGGATCATTACTACACCAAGGATAATCTATTATGCCTAGCACAAAGACGATCAGATTGTAGATTTCACAACCCGAATTGCATATTTGATCAGAACAGGCTTCGAAATTAGCAGTGGCACATGCACGTTTCCAGTGAATCAAGCCAAGAAACGTTACTGTTGTTATTGTTATTGTTTTTGTGTTTTCTTCTGTTTCGTCGCATTTACGTACATTTTACTCTGGGTTATTTTTATTCTGGAACACGACGAACGTGTTACCGAAATCTTTATCCTAATTCATATTAAAGTAAATTTTTCCGGGTCTGGTAAAAAGGCCTTTTCCTAAGGTCTGTATACTTTGGTGAACAGAAGCTTTTGACGTCAGCGTTTCCCTGGCTAAAGGCATCCCAATATGATGGGTGACTTTTCTGAAATTCCCGACAACTGTACAATGAATGGTTCAAAGTTTTGACTGGGAATTCGGCGTTCATGACTTCTGATACAAGTATGATTTATTTTCTCAACAGTTGATGACTTAATTGGCGGGTTCTTGTAACCGTGCGTTTGATACTGGATTACAAATACATATGTTATTGATGATTTTTCAACCACAGGTGCGTTCGTAGTCCAATCCTCGTAATTTTGTCCTGCAAATCGTGAGAAAGTGACCTGGTAAATGTTAGAGCACAGCAGCAAACTTGCCGTCGTCAATTCAGAATAAACCCAGAACACCAAACTCCGTTTCCGCTTGTCAGTATACAGAACAAGGACTGTAAAAAGCAAACATGTCCGGGAATTACCAAGTCTATTGGTGATTTACTGGGTTCAGAGTGAAAACACAGGTAGATGGTGCGTGTGTCTCGTTCAGGAAATGAAAACTGCTCAATGAAATACGGAGAAGTTAGGATTTCAGGAAAGTTAAATTTACGCTCAGGTCTGTTCCAGTTGATCCAATGTCGAACTGTTCCAGGACGCTTTGTACTAATGCTTTCGAAACAGTTATGTGAGTCTACTTCACAAAGACACTTCAAATTATTTAAATAGAGAGGCAAGAATCCGATTAGGTGCCAAGAGAAACCCAAAGAGTTGATAACCGAGGGCAATGGTTCGTAGGGAGAGTAACAGTCGTTACATGTTACCAGGGTTTTGTTGACACTAAAATATATCCGAAGAGTTTGACTTCTTGGATAATCTAGTTGACTAAGAATCTTTTGACATGAGACATACAGGAGTGCGGTCGACCAGAATGTACTAAAATATGCCATGTGACGATTTTCAAAGTTGCGTAGTTTTCCGGTTCCAACTGGGTGGATGCAAATGCTCAAACGTGTTACATCCTCGCATACATCAAAGTACAGTATACCAGGTATAAAATTGACTAGAGTCCAGGTCTTGGGTTTCCACATCAGGATTTCATGTGTAACGTTCTGTGAGAAGCTATATTTAGGTTCAACCGGACACACATGATTCGGATATACACAAGCTGTCCCTAAACTAGAATTCGAGTTTCGAATTCCCCGTCCTGCTTTGCAACAGAGCACACAAAGCCCCCTCTTTCCATAATAGATTTCATTCCACTTTCAGGATCAAAAGGTCATTTGCA